ATAATTTTTGAATACTTTTGGAATAATTTCTTGAACGATTTCTGCTGCAGTTGCGCTATCTATCTCATTAAGAAGTACAAGTGCCTCTGAATAATTATATGCTGATTTTTCGACTAATTTTTTCAGGTTACATTTGGCATAGCTTAAAGGTTCTTCTGCATCATTTTGAGTTATAATCTCTTTCATTGTTGGCACAAGTTGTTTTCCAAAATGTATGTTAGTATCATTTAACAAATTAATAATTGCTTCGTGCATTTCATTAATTGTGTTCGTATTATTTTTTATAAGTTGTGTGACTTTAATAACTATATCAAAATTTTTTGCAAATGAGTAAATTTGTGTAATAAAATATTGCCTTATTTGCTACTACCAAAATTCTCAAATAATTCTTTCACTACATTAGTATCATCGGGAAAACCTAAAGGCGGAATATCGAGAATTTTTGTAATATCAATTATGAAATCATAAAGTTCACCCATGCCATCAGTGTTTTCGTGTCCACAAGTTCTATTATAATATTTGTAATGTTCTTCAATGAAATACACTAATTTCGATATTTGTTCATGGCTTGCTTTATCTACAAGTGGTGACTTCATTTCATACACGGTTTTGTAGAAATCTGATATAGGTTGTATGATTTCTTGTTTATTATTACACAAATGAGGTTCTTCAGTGGCGTAACATACCCCGAGAAAAGTTATTATTAATAGTCGCAGCATTTTTGAAATCTGTAAAATATTAAAAAAAATATTTACGGGGTACAAAATGTTTTTTATAACATCCAAGTATATAGCACACATCTATTTTGTATAATAATATATCAGCAAAAAGATAAAACGAAATTATGTACACATAAATTTTATTCATATTTGTTTATAATGTACGTAATAAATGTGGACTATTTAATTAGGTGAAATGATAAAGGTAATGTGATTAATTTATGATATAGTTAGATCAATGAAAAGCAGTGTTTTAATGAAATTATTAAACTTTCATTAATTAATTTAGTTATTCATAATTTTTTTTGCAATCATCGTGATCTTTATGACTTTATATGATTTAAATACATTTTTAACTTCCGTAGGGTACGTTATTGTAATCGTCCAAAAATCGAAATTGAAAATGTTTACATTTCTTCACGTTTTGAAGGTTTCTGAAACATTTTGGCACACCTCAGAAAAAATGGATGTGTGTGTACGTGTGTGGGTATGTATGTATGGATACAATTTTTCGTCCACGTTTTCAGGCGCACGAATCAACCGATTTGAATAGTTAAAAAAACATTCGATTCCTATTGATAAGGAGATGTGCTGATTAGTTTTTGGCAAAGTGGGCAGAAAATAGAAATCGAGTTTTGAGAGAACGGAGCATCCGATTTGAATTGATCTAAATAACATTCAATTCGTAATGATGGCGAGGAGTGGTAATTAGATTTTGGCAAAGACAAATCCAGCCTTTCTGGGATACGGAGCTAAATGTTCTTTTAGCAGTTTGAGAGGACTAAGCGTCTGATTTGGATTATTCTAAAAACTTTCTGTTTGTTTTGACAAAATAATTGC